TCCTGGCGCACGAGGACATGCTTGGTGGCGAGTACGTATACCCGTCATGGTCTATCACCGTCGGCTGGGTGATGACCTGCACCACTGTATCGTGCATCCCTCTCTACATCATTTACAAATTCATTATCACACCGGGCACCTTTTTGGAGGTATAATATTAATATGTACAATAATAATTTCACAACTTTTCGTTGAATCTACATAATTCGACACAAAAAATCTAAATTTAAAAAAAAATTAAAACTCTGCAAAGGCCTTGTTTAGAGATATTAAAATTGAAAAATTGCAATAGAATAAAGTTCCTATTTATAAAATTACAAGCTAACATAACGAAATCTCCTTTCATAAATAAAATAAACCTTCGTCACTTGCTAATAATGAAGCTTTATATTGATAAAAGATTTAGAAAAATCGGTTTAATAGTTTTTATCTATCAAAACCAAGTAAATCTTGTCTGTTTTTAATATTAGTAAGTTGCATATATAAGTATGAGTAATGAGTCTATTGTTTTTGTTTAGCGTATAAAGACGATCCAGCGGCCGGAGGTAATCACGATACCGCCGGCGGACGCGACGCTCCGCACTCTGTGACCGGCGCACGCGCACGCCGCGCCGCCGCACGCCAAGGCCCCGCCAATCGAGTGGCTCGTTTAGATTATAACCTAACATCTGTGCTCGTACTCTATGTATGCGCTCTTCGAAATTTTTGCAGATATAGAACGATTGTAAAGATGTATTTTGTAATTGTCAGCTGCGTAGTGTTGTACGGATGATGTTAGTTTGTATAATATAGTTTTTGTCGTATAATACTTATTTGAATCACTTGTTTGCTTCTTAAGCAAAAATTACTGTGTAATTTGCACACCACATACATACATCAAAATTATATTATACTTAGGAAAAAAATGGTTTTTGAAATAAATATATCAGCATAGATCTTAATATTGTGTATCCTCATGTGTTTATGTCTATTATTGTAGCCAATGTTGTGTGTGTGTTGAATTCCGGTTGATGAAGGCACTTCTTTCTCAGGAACTCTTGCAGATGGTCAAGTTTAAGTTATTAAATTGCGTCGACTCAAACCGATTATATATTGTGAGTAGAGAGAGATTCAGATAAAAATCTCTGGACAAATAGCAGGCGCTGGTTATCAGAGTAGTAGCTGAAAAGTAAATAATCCTCCTTTTTCTTTTTATTACAGCGTAAGTTTAAATATATATTATTTCTATTGGAAATATATGATAACTGTTCCTGTTATGTAGTGACCTTCGAATAATAGATAAAATAACTTATTTCACTACTTGATTTGCTAAATTATATTTTAAGTTATAAAAGATTTCAATAATAAAAGTTAATACGTTTTCCATAAGTCGTAATTTTATATAAAAGATTTAAATGTAACGTGTAGTTAGTAGCAATAATTAATAAATATACTAGTCAGTTAGTTATAATGAAATCTTATAGAAAAATAAGTCGACCTTTAATGTTCATTTGTTTATACATGCTATACACTACAATGAGTGAGACACAACACTAGTATATTTTCAGTTCAGAGTTAAAATTTAATCTCTGAACAACGGTGGCGTTATAAAGCGACCGTGATAGAATTTTACGCCGACAATCACCACTCTTAATTTTCAATGACGCTCCTTTTTAATCATGGCATGACGTCACCACTATCCTGAAACAATATACTTCAGAAATGTTGCATATAAATCTTCATTTTGTCTCTAAATATAATAATAATATATAAATGTGATCGTAGATGTATTGATTGGTGGTTATATTGATGTTATGTATTAGAAAATGTGCGACAAAAAAATTAAGCAATATACAGTTAGATTTGTATATAGAAAATGTTTGCCAAGTCTTCGAAAGTATTATAATTCATTATAAACAAATTCATTATTATATCAATATATTTTATTATAAAAAAACACAACGAACATTTGTATTGGAAATATAATCGTGTAGACTGTAATTTGTTGTATAAAAACTACATAATATATCTATATATTGTAAATAATAAAATTATTGCTGGTCAGACTATAAATTGAGACAAGATGTAACATTAAAAGTGTATTCATTATTTTCATTTATTAAGTAGAAAAAAATAATAATTGGTGTTATATGTTACTATAAATGTCTAAGCAAGCCCCATGTAAAGTATATTTGTAGTATACATAATATATTTGATATAAACTTTTGTATTCGAGGGCAATGAATACAAAAGTATCAAATTATTTAAATGGCAATAAATGCCAATATTAATTATAATTTTTAATATAACAATTTAATATATGTAGTTAATTATATAATGATTGGAAGGTGTTATGATATACATAGATATTTAGATACGAATAATGTATTGGAATAATTTAATTGAAACCTCCAATTAGTCATCGTTTGGTCGTGTGCATTATAATCATGGAGGCATAAGGTCATATGTAGATAAATTAATCATTATCTTATCTACTTTTCTATATATTTAACTGAATGCCTTTTACGTAATGAAAAAAATTTACTCATTTTTAGTGAAAAGATTAAATTATTTTATTAAATTGAGTATCAAAAAAAGAATCCATGTACTATTATATAATAAGTTTATCCCAATTATGATAGTGATTTACAGAATTTAAAACTTCGTTTGACACATTAGAAACTTAGATTTAGTCTAGTGCGTGCAACAAAATTGTTAGAAATATTTAAGTAGTCTATATAACTTTCAAATAATATATGTACATGCAAATATCATAAATTAAGTAAAATATAAAGCTCAACGGTAATAAAAATAATAGCTTATTATGGGCAAAAAAGCTTCACATATTTTTCTTCGCAAATATTATATTAATCTATAATATAATTAACAATATGTATCGACATTAGTGATGTACGTACAAGTGTAGTGATGTGATTAATCAAATAAGTGTTTTTATAAAAAAAATGATTAATAAATAATAGTTCATATACCCACAGATATAATGGATACTTTTGTTTTTATCTTTAGTTAAAAAATACTATACATATAATGTATTTAAATGTATTTATTTACATGATTCTCGATTGATCATTAATATATGTGTGGATGTTGTTGCATTAATTATATGGGTGTTGTGAACATTCTGGGTGTTTAGAATAGATGAACAAATATTAAGAATGGGCCTGTAGCAGCCATTACAGGTCCATCTGGATATTTGTGTTATAAAACTGTTGTTTCATTTTAGAATACAAAAGATAAAACAATTTAATCTACTTTTAATAATTTAGTTCTTCGGTAATTTATTAACAATATAAAAGGCTTCCTGAATAACCAGCCGACGGTGCTATTATGTTATAAAAAGCCTCAAATTCAACGCCAAGCTCAGAATTATCATAGCATAGAGATTCAATAACTTAAAACCTACTTCAAAAGATAATAAGGGATTTCTATGATTTAAAGTCTTTGTTGTCACAGCGCTGCTCGACGTCGAAGTTCGAGGCTGTTTTTTAAACAGAATAGCACATCTGATCAGAAATAACGTATAAATATTTAACCACATCACATATATATATGTACTGTGCATGAATAGCCCAAAAATATGTTTTCCAAAAAAAAGTCTTGTATCGTAATTACAACGGCGTAGTTATAATGTGCTACGACATAATTGCCGTAGTATGCTACGCCGTAGTTGTTGTAGCTTGTTCGAAAAAACTTAAGGTCGGTCGAAAGGTAGGACGGACACGCCACTAAAAAGATTTATACATAACTCATTCCACTTGATTTTGAACCTAAATCCGTTAAAGTATTATTAAACAGTTTTCCCTATTTAGGGTACGTGCCAGCCCTATAAAAAGTCACATAAGGTAAAGTAATAGCTCAATTACTGTATAAATTGGCCTACATTAGCGAAAGTTGCTCGACCTCGACAATCGAAGACTGAACGTGTCAACCACTGCGCTAATTAATTCCAATTAATATCAATGAAACCCATATGAAATCACCACAATCTGATGCAGTCTAATGTAACTAGCATATGAAAACTTTCCCAAGAACCTTTTTCGATGCAAGTATGATCAATATAATCGTAAAATACCAGAGTATATGTAAATTTGAACGAGGCTTTGTAAAACGGTAGTTTCTTACTTACTCTATGGCTTTTGACAAAGTAATGTCAATTATGAGCACATATTTATAAAATCTTGTAATTATCCTCTAAATTCATAAGTGAAGCAACCACGTTAATGACATGCTTGAATGAAGATGCAACCGGGTAAAGGTTGTAATAGTATGCACCAGCCGCGTGACCCGCATGGCGGACAAATCTGTACATTTTACTGCCTCTGTGAGTATAATAATGTTCTCCTTTATCTTCTTAAAGTGCCTCTGCAATTAGTAAAACATGACCATTAACTTCTTGTGACCGTCCCTCCTCGTAAAGTGGAACCATTCGCTTACACTACCAATATTTCGGAACCACAATTTTGTCCATTATGACATGTTGGAGAAACTCCTATCTCCAGTGTCGAAGAACATGATAGATAGGAGACTTTTTGCCGTCGAATTTAAAGCACGGATGTTCGTTTTTAAACATACGTTACAAAAGCTGCTCCGACTCCCAGGAACTAGGGACGGTTGTAAAAAGCTGATGGCCAACAGTCACTAGTTGGAGAGCCACTTTAAAAAGAAGAAGACTTCCTTGTTGATCACCATCTGAATTATTTACCTGTAAGTCCACATTTCAAAATATTCTACGCGTATTTAGGGTGTTTCTTAACATCAAATCGTAAGAAATCTACTAACTAATATTGATAATATAAAAAAAACTTGTATCGATTCGATTCCATTCGAATTCGATTGATTTCTAATTACCAGTTATTTAGTTGGTCATGCCATATTGACACTGAAATATATCTAACAAAAACATTAATATGTTTTTAGTAAAAATCACATATTTTTCACCTCCAATGTTCACATTTGAAATTCTTTAATAAAACAGTATATTTTGCGGATGTCTCCTTAAGATGTTACCTGGTTACGCGTTCCAGAACTTGTATGATATCGAGAATATAGCAAAATGGTTGAGTTGCAATGGCGAGGTGTGGGGCATGGGGCCGACGGCGGTTTTCGCGAGTGCCGCCGCCCTATTCTTGTACAACGAGCTGGAGGCGACCGTGTTCGTCCCTGGAGATCACGCCCATGTCTCCGTGTTGGAAAAAACCCTCATTGTAAGTATGAAGCAAACCACATATTAGTTAGTTTTCTGCGCAAAAAATCTAAAGCCGTAAATAAAAATGCTAGCCGGAATGGAAAGTCGTGTTCGCCGAAATGCACACATTGTTTCTCTTCTTTACAGTATTCTGTACAATCCTTATTCACCAGCTTATCTTAATGAATGTTTTAATTTCCTTCACAATACACACACTAGAATTTTGAGGTCATCAGAGAACTTGAAATTATCAATACCGATGCATGCCAGTAAATTTATTGATAAATCATTTACAGTCCAAGCTGCACGTCTTTGGAATGCATTGCCAGAAAATATCAGGCGTGCTCAAAGCATACACATTTTTAAAGAACTAATCAAAGAGCATTATCTGTCACTCGCTCTGAATCCCGTCTGATTCTTATATATCATCTAACTAAAAGCTTATATGTATGTATTATTGTATTTATAGGTACTTATTATTTTGTGTATGTATTTCATTTATTCATTTAGTATATTTAGAGAAATGGTATCGTAATAAAGTTTGAGACTCCATAAGCTACCCTAATCTAATCTAATCTAGATATAATTTATGTTCAGTTTGCAAGGTTGCCAGGAAGAAATTACTTTTTAGTAATAAGGCCGCCAATTGTGCATTTATATTTATAATATATCAATATATTCGTTTTTTGTCCATTGGTGTACAATAAAGAATTTTTAATTCGTTCAAGTGGCTTAAAGTGCCCGATCAAAATTAAATTTCTTTTAGTAATTATTTTTTATTGTCATCTTTTCCATTTCCAGTCAACAATGATGCTCGGAATGCTTGCACTAATGATACATCTCTGGGTCTGTTCAATGCGCTTCTTCCAATATTATTTGGATACACTGATTAAAGATGTAAGTACATTAAAATTATTATCTCGTGCTACTCTATGCTTCGGCAGGCATGTTAAGCCGTTGGTTCCGGCTGCATTTGAAGTCGTCAATACCCTCCAGTACGCATTGGGCCAGCGTGGAGGTTTATGGCCCATCCTCCTTAACCATCCATAGTAAAGAAGGCCTGACCCCTGCAGTGGGGACGTAACAATGTGATTCTATCTACTAGTGTTTCGTATTTTCACAATACAAGTACTAAGGTTACTTTTTGAGATCTGAGCAATATATGTGATGTTGTCTAATATTATAATTATTTATTTATCTGAATATCGGAAAATACACGCCAGATCTCTTTCAAAAATTATACAGGGCCATCATAATGTAGCATTTTTGACAGAGTCCTAATATGCTGCTGGAGATGACGACAGCTGGACTCCTCGGCGGGCCGGAGATGATGCCATTAGGGACCCTCACCAGGTTTCTCAGACAGCAGCAACCGCAGATCCATATAACGGTGTGCTGGTTCCTGTCGTTATGCTACGCCGATTATGTACGCAAAAACTACTGCACGCGATTCAATATGCCTTATTTGGAACAGTGGTTGGTACTGGACTCGCCGATTTGTTTTCTTCAATTCTTACACGTGTCACATCACATTGTCATCTCATGTCAATTAATAAAGATTACACATCTATACATGTTTGAAAAGTATTTGAATACCATACATAACATATTAGTCAAGCTTGCTATTGCTTTATTAGAAATGGCAACTCTAGTGGCAAAGTCAGCCTACATCGAAGTACAAATGATTTATAACACAAGGATATACTAACGCTATCACAGCGGTACTCAATGAGCTGTACACTCTCGGTCTCTTAAGAATTCAGTGGCAGTCGGTTAAATCACTCATATAATATGAAGCGCAGCAATGTTGGTTCTGGGTCTGGATGAAAATTGCAAGAAGAAATCCCATTAACCAGTATTTCTTTTTTAAGAGAGGTAACGCTGGACCGTTATCTCCTGCCGTAGCAAAGCAATTCATTCTTGAATTTCATTTTGCTTTCCTTGTTTTGTTTCATACCTCTCTCCCTTTCTAATTTTATTGCGATTGTCTAGTTACCATTAGTTATTTTAGAAAAAATAAGAAAGACAAATTCCATAAAAACTTGAAGAACAACAACGGTCTAAACTTTATTATTGTTTGGCCTTCTTTAATGATGAATCCTTCGTCTCCTAGTTATTAAGTAGCAATAGATCGACTAGGTAAAGCTATTTCCACTGGTGGGTACAGGCAAACCGAGCTTCACGAGCGGGCCGCGCGCGGGGTACGGCGCACCATGGAGAAGGTGAACAGTTTCGTCGGCAACGTCCATCAACGGCTGCGTGGATACGCGCCACCCGCCCATCACCGGACACCTGACACACACACGTAAACACACAAACTATTCACTACTCTTGTCAGTGATCTAGTGGAAAAACATGTGTTCAAAAGTGATTCGATTGAAACTCCGTTGGCACGTTATGATTACTTCAGTGTAAAACAGAACTCTCCTGGTCGTTTTCATTGAATTCCAGCTGAGAATATAACCTGAAACAGCTCAGTAATTGCAGCACAGCGCAATGCAAACTATCAAGCCACGGATTTCATCGAATTGATCACTGTTTGCGGTATTTTTGGCCGTGATATATCAACTTGCAGTATTATAGTAGCTTTAGGTCATATATTGCTAACTAGAGTGAGAGCTCGGTGCCGAAGAGACCGTCGTCGATGGCGGTCAGCAGGACCAACAGTTCCATGGTCGAGTGCGAGCGGTCACCCAGCGATGCGCCCACAAGCAAAGAGCTTTGCGTACGACTCGTCAGTCAGTCGAGCGAAACAACAGTTGATGCAATTGAGAAACTCCGAGCCTATATCACAGTAAGAACATGGACCTTCTGCCTAACTATATATAGTCTGACACCCGCATATGATGTAGATCCTAGTAGTTAAAATGATCTTTTAAATAGTTCCCGAGCAATGCAATCAAACAACTAAATCTTTGCTCTTTATAATATTAGGATAGATTACTTGTCATATAATGCGTGGTGTCTTATCGGTCGCGAAACGTCAGAACTAAGAAATATTTAAGTATATACGATAACCTTGAACACTCAATAAATGAGCCTTCTCCTCGCCTGTCAAATATGCATAAAAGCTTTTAGAGTTTTTGATTTGTTATTATAAATATCTTAATGCTAATAATATTGCTAATAATGTTAAGATTTATGTTATTATTATAGAGAGTTTTGACTTGCTTAGTAATAATATATATGTTTGCTTTATTAGTAACTAGATTTTATTTTACTGATACCGTCATTTGATTTTACTGTACATTTTCACCGGTTTGACTGATAGAGAATGCCTTTATGACATCAAGTTCCAAATTTGCTATTATATAGGAAAAAATATTAAAGACCATTCCTATTAATAAAATCAACAGGCAACAAGATGTACATGCGCTTCACACGAGTCCTGCGTCGCTGGAGCTATCTGTGCAGACGCTCACCAGACAACGGAGCCTTGACAAATTTATCTGGCGCAAGATTGTTAAATTACTTTTCGAATAACGTTTTATATGCGACACAAACTTTATGAAAATGTATTGTTTTGAAATCATAGTTTTATTTCAAACTAGCTGACCCGACGAACTTCCTACCACCACCATATTCCCGTTTTTTATTACATTTTCTTATATACAAACCTTGTCCTGAAAATAAATAACACATAAAATAAAGAATCGTCAAATTTGGTGCAGTTTTCGGGAGTTATGCGCTAAAATGTGCTAGAATCTGTTTTCTTTTTTTTTTAGTTTGTATTCTACTCATTTAAAATCAAAGAAAATGGTTTAGTGATTTGGGCTCTGATGATGTTGGGCAGATTTATTAACCTCTTGAAGCCTTTTGATAATGGAAAATAGATACTCGGGAAGGAAAATAATCTATGAAAATAATAAATCTATGAGCAAAGTCCTAACAAATATAGGAACAAGTGACAAATTATCATGGTTGACGGTTGACTGACATTTAAGTACAAAGTTGACTCTCAGATTATTAACTTGAGCATACAAACATGCATACAAAAAGCAGAGCTTATAAAATACTAAAATATGATGTAATCTGAGCGAAACACTGGATTCGGCGAAATCCACAAGGGCAATGCCATTAATTAAAAAGAAGAAGAAGATCTGAGATAGCTATGAATAGCTAGCTTGCATAATTATACTCTAAGATTACTTCATTCAAGGTTGACATTTTTATGACAGATGTTGACGTACTACAACATAATATAAGAGATATGCCCGTTTGATGCTCAATGTAAAAAACACTTTATAATGCAGTCGTGTCCAAATCACAACCCGGATCATTTATAACACTAATACATCGCTCAAAAAATCAGATGTTAAAATTTACCGTTTTTAATTTAGTGGAAAGAAATTAAGATGTGGCAAGACTTGTACAGTTTCTTAAGAACTGAAGGTTATAAGGTAGAAGACCAAAACAAACAATTTAGCATTTAGTGTTTCTTAGAACAACACATCAGGTATACAGCTGGTGTTACTAAATATATAAATAAACTCCACAATTCTACCTGTCTTCACTTGTATCCCAGGAGTGTCACAGTATTTATGCACTTCTTTAAATTCCTTGAGGTTCTTAACACTCATATAGAAGCTCGCGGGATTTTATGGCTTCTTACATTATCTTCCGACAAGCGAGATCATTTTATCGTGAAGGGTGCGTCTTAGTCCTCGCCCGCGTTTCTACATTCTTCCACTTTCGCTCATAATTTAATGGCAATCTCTCGAGGCGATGGAGCATGCCCCTGTTAACTTAGTAATATAATTGCGTGGCAATAAACGGATAATTAAGTAATTATGTTTCAAAGTAAATGTTTTCTCGCTATAGGTAATAACTTTAAGATTCTACGTTTTCTCTTTTGCTTTTCCTAACATCAGCTGCAATAGGTGACATACCTTCGAGATTATAATGTAACGATCAACCACAACATAATCATAGTGACGATAATCCACCGTTTTCACTAGAATATGTCGCGAATTATGTCTAAGTTCTTCCAGTACCTACCTGCTGCGCAAAAATAAATAAATATCAATTTATAAACTCGTACGTAAGTTCGATTACGCGAAACTAGTAGTCTTTCTACGAGTTACATACACGGACAAATTAAACAAATTGGTTAAAGCAAGTGCAAAATCCCTTGCATATCCATATACGTGCTCAGTCAACAGATCCCATTTTGCCTGAGATGAGCAAAATGTAATCCTGATTACATTTACCAAACTAAGTTCTGTACATAAGTTATCTTATTTATTTCTTAATAATTTGTAAATAGATTGATAGATAATGAATTCATAAATTAATAAGGATTCCCTAGTAGCAATTTAAGTTGGTCCGTTCTTTGACCTCAAATTAACCGGCGGCCGAGGGACTAACCTAAATTTCTATTAGATTTACAATTATAACATGTAATCTTCCATCAAAAATCATAGTACCTGAGTGAAATAATAGATCAATATTACATTTTACTCGTTTCTGCTTTTAATATCTATATTTCGTCGTTAAAGACAGTGCAATGGGCGAAATGCGGCGAGAGCGCAGTGTCGACAGTTCCGACTGCGCTCTGGGCTGTCGGTGCGGCAGCGCTGTCGCACCGGCTGCTTGGTGCACTATTCAGGCGGTTCCTATTCCGACGTGTGCCTCTGTGGGAACTAATTCTACAAGTACGACCGGTTGCAAACGTTACATTATACTTAGTGGCACATTTAACCAGCCACCTACATTTAGTCAGTTTTCCAAAATTCTATCATTACACATGTAATTTCCTTACAAAATCTACATTAATTTTGTGATGAAATTTACTGGTTTAATTAAGAGAAAAAAAAAATAAAAAAGGGATGTTTATTTGAAAAGAAAATCATGGTCTAAATTTTAAAATAAATAATACAGATTTCCTCCTCTGGCTCTTATGACCTCTTCGAATCGATTTGGAAGCCCGTCCATTATGTCTTGGATGTCGCTTTAAGGAATGTTCTTCCACTCCTCAATAGCTACAGTTTTTAGCTCACTGATGGGCTTTGGAGCTGGATCCGTCTTTTGAAGTTGTCCCACATATGCTCTATTAGGTTCAGATCAGAACTCCGAGTTGACCAAGGTAATTACTGAATATTGACAGCGTCGTAGTGATCGGTAACAATTCTTGCTGTATATGCGCGAACGTTGACTGTATTGAAATATAATTATCGCCAATAAATGATTCAACCGGAATCACATCTGATTCTAGGACTTCTGTCGCATACCTGTGAGCATTAACACCGCCTCAATTGCAGAAGACCAACTCTGTACGGGCGTCGTAACAAATGCCACCCCACAATATTGTCGAACCTACTTCGTAGCCCACTGTTTCAACCATAGCACATTCAGCAAATCTTTTACCGCGGCGTCATTACAAACTCTGGCGAATTCGGCCCTCGCAAAGCGATTGTTGATTCATCAATGAAAATAATTGCCTTCTTTGGATTGGCAAATCTAAGTCGTGCTCGTCTGTGAGTTGTGGTCAGCTGTGGAACTCAAACTGGTCAAAATGATCTCAGCTCTCTCTCTCTTCTAACCTTCTTATTGTTCTTAAGCTCACACTTACGTTTCGTACCTCAAATAAGCGGTTACAAGCCTCAGATGCTGTTATGAATCGATTTCGCAGAACGTTCGAGGTGATGTAACGGTCATCTCTCTCTGATGTACACCTTCTACGACCTTGCCCTGGCCTTCCTGTATAGGTACCGGTCTCTTTATCTCGTTGAATAGCGCCTTGTATAGTGCATCGTGGATATCCAAGCATACTTCCGATCCGACGCTGGCTAAACATAGCGACTGCAAGTGCCACAGCCCTGGCTACTCAAGCTGCATACAATGGCATCTTCTTGGTGTAAATGAATTCACGGTACACCAACACCTTGATTTTATAAAAAAAAATGTTAGCATAATGTTTTAAAACAAATGTATCCTTCACACAATATAAGCACCGAGAATATAAAATTTCGACTAAACTTATTTATGTTAAATAAAAATCACAGAAGTGAACTAAACGTGGGTTTTGTTGCATCGATTCTTGCAGATATACCCGCTTATTTATGTATGCCTTAACAGCTTAAGTTTATATAAACAGAATTATTCGATATAAGATGGGTGGACGGTTAAATATGCTCCGGAGTGTATATTTGAAACATCCTACTTAATTATTTAAAAACCAACGAAAGGCAAACTTACTTGGCTACTACTATTTATCCAAAATAAGTAAAAGACAAGCATCTTATAATTTCTGAGCCGGTAAAGAAAAAAGCTGATCATGTTCTATGAAACATAACAAACAACAAAATAAAGTTGTACTCAGATAATTCTTACATAGGAGCATTAGCATTTTCAAAAATTCAACTTCTTGCATTTGCTGATATAGATACATAGATTCTTCACTAAACAAATGCAACAGACTTGACCACCGCAATGGAGCTCTCGAATGTGACTTAGTAATTAAACTATAAGTAATTCTGTTTTCAGAATCTATCTGTTTATTTGGTTGGTGATATACAGCCTACATTTCTGGACGGTGCTTGTTAGAGTAGTGAATGTCATAGTCGAATACTGTTTCGATGGGGTGAGTCATGATTAGTGTTTTAAAATAATCTTTCTGCAACAATGGTTGTTGAATTCGTTACAACAATTCTAGTAAAAGACGATAAAGTGATTTCATCATGTACAACCAACTTTTCTTGTACTTACTCATCATCAGCGTAGTAGCTATCGCCGTATCAATGATACGGGGCTCCTTGGCTACAGGGGCCCCTGTCATGTGTAAGCAAAAACCTTTTTACCCTCCATTTAAGTCCCCCAACTAATTTTGATAAAGAGCCCCTCCAAGGCAAGCTACTGCTCATCATATGTATAATTCAGTACTGACCGTGTAACTTATTGAGAAACTATGCTCACTGCTCGCTAGGTTTTCTTTATCTGCTCCGTATTGAAATTTGGTTTGGCGTGAAGATAAGGATAAACCTTATTTGGCTCATTCACAATTAGTTTCTTAGGTTCGCCTTCATTGGGTTCATATGATATTGATATTTACAAATAGACGATAATGATGATTGCTATAAATGTCTTTTCTGTGATTAGATCGATATGATGCCACAAACAGACGAAGAAACGGAGGGCAAGAAGCTGATGCAGCAGTGGATTGTCTGGATGTGCGGACTGGTGCCTCTGGTGGTGTACCTGCAGACACGTCCCCGACCAGAGACTCCGTCTCTCATGATATGGTTATTCATTCATACTAACGTGGTAGTAAAGACCTCTTTTCACAGACAGTGGTGTGGTATGTTTCTAGACATGGGCGAAGTCCCATTATCGGTCCTTTTGCTTGATACCTAGATGTGAGGTCGCAAGTGGGAATATACAGACTATAAAACTCAGAATCTCCATCTAAAGCAAAGGCAAATTACAAGTTTCTTTATACGCTATGTTAAAAATTATTCTTTTCTGTGATGGTTGATCGGTAAAGAACGGTGCTGACCGTGCAGGATAATTTGGTATTGGCGACTGAAATCTTCAACACTAAAGTTGTGAATGCTATTTTATAGTGTTATAATTACTTGCAGGATAACACCGAGTCCATGGCAACGTCGTGAAATGGGCCCCTACGGATACTACCTGAACCGCCCATTAACTTCTCTGCAGTCTACCATGCACGTGACTAACCACAGACAAGCCCTTGCCCTCCGGAAAGCGTTCAGTGACACAAAGATAGCTATGAAAGAACCGCCAAAGAAAAGACGATATTCGAAATCTGTTTAAAAATCGTTAGTATATAAAAAATTAAATTTGAAACTGTTCTGGCGTCTTTTTTATTTTTACTGACCCAATAAAAAGTATACGACTTCCTTAGTCGAAAGTGATTTCAACGGCTGTTTGAAAAAAGAACATTTCTTCGAAGCTATAAAAAAGTCATTTTTGTCAACGACCCTAAAAACAAAAACATTGCAAAATTGCCCAACAGATGTCACTGATTGAAAACAATCAAATCGCGGTGTTAAGATTTTTTCAAGAGTTTTTATATAGGTGTGTGTTACCATAAAACAGCATACTAACCTTGCGTAGGGTGTACCGTGATCAGGAAGGCGGATGCCCCGGGCTGGTTCCAATCATTGCACTGCGATTGGACATGGCCAGTCTGTGACTATCCTAATATAGGATACGTTGTACGCACAATTTTTGGTAGTTGGACTAGCGTGCTGCGCGGTCCTCTTATAAACTTAAATCACTATTCTAATTTGTGAATTGTTGAAGGCAAACGCGTAGTAACCCGCAAAACCAAACAAAATTGTTTTTTAGAGCAGAAAAGCTTTTTTTTTCGATAAATAATTCGTATAAATGGCCATGGTAACAAATAAGGTGTTCCTAAGTCAATTTATACTGAAAATACATTTTTTTTTGAAAAATATAAAATTTTTCCACTCTAAATATCCATTTTGGTTTTGCAGGTTACTACGTGTTTGCTTTCCAGAATCGATATATTGAATTGATTTTGTATGTTACGTCAATTTTAAATTCAGCCCATTTATCTGACACCGGTATCGATCACTTTTGGTATCACAAATTTTGTTTTTATTTATTATGATTGGAGAAGCGAAGACAGCCTTAAAACCACTTTCCACGCCAAAGCTGTCACCAATCACAATCTGTAAGGTCTATCACATAAATACGCTTACATCGATTATTCAATCCTTGACGTCGAATTGAATTATAATGCACTCAACTTCTGATACTGATAACCTTGTTTAATATCTGTGGTTGAGTGCATTGGATTCAACACTTCGATTCATAACAAATAATTATTGATCATTCACTGCATTTTGATGAAAGGCAATGTCAACAAAATCAAAATCATTGTAGTTATGCGATAGGTGTGAAGGGTTAGATTTGAGAGCAGGCGAATTCTGCAAATGTTTACGTAACGATCACGTCTCAATAGAACCCAAATTACTTGCATTTTCCTATTGTGATATGTACCTAAAGTCCAATATTATTAGTGACACTCTTTCTCACATATAAATGGTCAATATTGGACTTCAGGTAGAGAGTACAATATCAAAATGTAAGTAGTTGAGATTATATTAATAAGAGAGTTGATCTACAGGTTTATTCCCATATGTGAACACTCGTGTAAACTACATCAACAGTACTGGGAGGCTCTGGAGATCTGCAGGCAGACCAAACTTGCACTACCCCGAGTGAACGCTCACCTGTCCAAAGCCCTTCTACAGCTACGTAAACCATTTTTGCGCTTGGATTTGGTAGCTTTTTAGTTTAGGTGTTTTAGGTCTAAGCGTATCACCTTCATGGATATGACAATCCATAAAAGTGATACTACCCACTCTATAAACCATCACAGAGCGCAGTTCTCATTCTTCGTAGGTATATCGTGGTGAACAGACGTTTGGGTAACCGTAAGTAATAATAGCATTGTCACTCTTTGACTGTTGTTAGATAGTACTTACTAAAGTTGAAGAAGTCACAACAAAATACCTATCAAAGAGTGTCATTTTACCAATGATAAAAGAAACTCTTTAAGTAGATACAGCTGGTCTGAAAATTTTATACTTTTGAATCCCACGGACATGGCGAGTCCATGTCAGTGGGATTCAAAAGTGCAATAGTACTGCACTGTTCAAAGAGCAATAGTACTGCACATAGGTACTTTTTTAAAACTGATAATATTGAATAATATATTTTAATTTGAATAATACATTTCTAAGACTTAAATGATGGGAGCTAAGGTAATCTGTTTGCTATGCCATGCCGCCCCACAAATGCGCCCCAGGCAGTTGCCTATATGGAAGGGCCCAGCCAATAACCAATTACTAAGAACCAACATATACAGCTGAGACCAACATGCTTAGCGTGCCTTCAAATGCACTTAATATAAATTTTTGGTTACCTGTACGAGAGATGGCTTTTGCAAGTTGCTTTAGAGCAGAGGTTAACCGGTGGTTCATAGACCAGTGGTGGATCCTGGAATTATCCCAAGTGGTCTGTCGAACGGAAATTTTATTTAAACCTCTTATTTATTTACAATAGGGATCACGACTGGGAAATAAAGATAAAAAAAAGAAATTCTATTGAGTCCGTCAGTCAGATAATAGAAAAATATTAAATACGTATTATTTTGCATTAAAGTTGAGGAGTGGGGGATCGCTACGTCACAGTTTTGTACAAAAGCGTGACGTCATGCGACATTTAGAAAAATATTGGATACGTATTTTTTTGCTTCACTTTATACGAGAAATGGCTTGGCTAATAGGCATTAAAATTGAAGAGTGAGGGATCGCTACGTCACTGTTTTGTACAAAAGCGTGACGTCATGCGACATTCCGACTCAATGTATCGGCGTAATTTATTGATTGCGCAAAAAATAAAAAAAATCGTGTAAATATTCTTCAATAATCTACCTGACGGACGAACAAACAAAAATTAGTGGTCATCCCTATTAGAAAATGCTTATTAAACCAAGTGGTAGCAAGCAAGACTGAAATTTGTCAGGTGATCCCTAATGACTAAAAGATTTAGAACCACTGGTCTAGAAAAAGAGCAATCTGAAACTAAGCGCACCAATTACTGCGTCTCATCCAGTATCAAATAAAAATAAAAAACAATTTAAACGAATGCAAGTTTATTAACACTTCAACAACTGAAGTATAAAAGTAAAATTTACTACTTTTTAAACATATAACATAGGTACAGTTAGTTCCAACTACATAATATATCGCACGTCATGCGCACTAACATATTCCGATAATGACCGAACTTAAAATTAATAATGAGTCTTGTTTTAATAATCATAATGCGTAAAATACAATGTCTCAAGTGTCCATCTCAAACCGTTAACACAAAGGTTAACGTACGAAATTCTATCTTTTCGGCGACTGTGCTATAGACGGGGGTAGGGTAGAGCGCTCTACTTGATTCATTCTAATTATCAGACATTTATCGCGCTTCGAAATTCACCTTTACGCAGATAAAACCACCATAAGCCACATCAGTTTAATCTTACTGTAATGTAAAATGTGACTGAGTCTATATGTATAACATCGGTGACTACGTCATAATGCGGGGCACTAATCGCTGGTTTACACGTATCAACTAGATAAGTAGTTAACTAAATTGTAATCAATATGTTTGGGCTTATTTAATTTTATTCGACAATTTAAATAGTTCTATGTCAGTTTAAAGAATATATAGAACCTACATTTAATTCGTGTTTTGGTGTTTGTGACGAGACTGTGATTCCAAAATTATATCTGCACCAGCAATGTAATAATAATAATTGTAATAATGATACTTATTGAATTGTTGAGGGTAGGTACATATTTTTTTAACGCAAGAATCGCTTACACGGTTACGAGTCTAAACGATTAAACAGACACTTACATAACTAAGTATTTGCCTTTATTATTTTATCAGGCACTTTTCCTTGAGATAATTTAAATAATTGCTACATCCTTTATTACAACAAAATTAAATGAATAAAGTACGACAATAACATACAACAAAATTAAATGAATAAAGTAAATATGTAACAATTATTGACGCAACACATTTTGGGAAGCTGCATGCTTGAATTAAAACTAGGAGGAGACCAGCCAACCAAACAACAACAGGATTATTTCTGAATATAATATATAGAATGTATTCTATGTAGCAATTATTTATTATATGGAGCAAATATAAGCTTATAAATACATGGTGTATAGTTTGCTACTATACACCATGTATTTATTGAAATATAAAATTTATTTGAAGTTATTATATTTGTTTAAAATCAAGTTATATAGTTGTTAACTTATTACGTGTATAGTAGCCTTAAATTACTACGTATAAACTTAATACGTGTAAGCCAGCCGTAAGTTGAAATAAAATTTGATATTTTCTAACAGTATACTGAGTTGTTATGACAACACTCAGCGTTTCACACCCACACCTCCATTGGCACCCGAATATAATATGATACTGCGCAGACGCCATTTTGGTTCAACTTACGTATACGTACCCCGAATTAAAACTTACGAGCGCCTTAGAAAGCCTTAAGACACGCTGTTAAGAGCTAGTCTTGCGCTATTGATTTTTATGCGTTATGCGTTTTTATCCGTTTTATGTAGTGGTTTATCTGATTTTATTTAAAATCAGATAAACCACTACATAGCGTATATCAACATTAATTTTATTATTTATTCTTACAACAATATACTTAAAACGAATTAGAACACATTTTGAACCAGTGAACTATCACTAATCAAACGGGCAGGATGTATCAATGTATAATTCTGAATGTAAAATTGTCAAATATAATTTATACCATTTTAATGATAATTATAACTTCGTAAATAAAACACAATTACATTTATTAAACATTTATATAATGTATATAAACCTGCTTAAAGAAAATATTATAGAAAATGCAAACGCAAAAGCCAATCAAATAAATACATTTGATAACTCTGGAGAGTCGGTATTAAAATTCAAGAGAGTCCTCTTAAAACCTGCTTCATAATACATGCGTTTGGTAGATGTTTTATTTTTAATAATATATATACATAAATTTTACTTTCGAGGAACATTCTCATAAAAAAATATATTAATAAAATATTTTTTTTAATGATTTAATGTTTCAAAGGATATAAGTTTTAAATTGAATCCATCTGTACTATCCGATTGTATAATTACGATCGTTAGTTACTAATTAAATGTTACGTGTCGACTGCGGTGTTTGTTTTCGCCTTAACATCCAAAGAACGCAGCGGATCTTTTTGTCGGGCCTGCAATAAGGAAATGCTACGTTAACAAACGTGCAGGCGGGATCGCCGAGCGCTGAGGACTGCAGATGCAACATCCAGACAATCTTAATCAAATAGACTTATTATAAAGTACTTTTGTATAGTCCAACAAATACAAACGATGTCTAAGACTCAATCGAAGGTCGAGACAAAATTTTGGTTACCCAAATGACTATCGGTATCGTAAATGTAACATAATTTCTTCAACCACAAATCGTGCTAATCACAGACCCAATTTACTAGAAAATCCGTAACAATATTATAGCCAAAAGGGTGTGTTTGTTTTGTTATTCAGTCTTGTAGGTCACAATGCATCGTTATGGTATATTTTTGTGGACATATTGGATAGTCTTATATAGTTCTCAAAGAACTAGCTCCCACAGACGAACTAAACGAACTAGTTCGCACATTTCGCGGTCCATAGTTCGTGACATAACGTGTAAAGGTGAACGTAAAAATTCGACCGAACTAATGTCATTAAAAATATAAAGGCGAAAAATATTATGTATTAATCATTAAAATATATTTTATTAATATTAGTTCATACGTTTATTTATGTTATTTATGTGTCCAAAAATTTTATGTAAATGTACAATTTTCAATAATGTTGTCACAACAAGGAACAGTATGAAAACGAGCGAACAAACTGCCTTAAATAATTCAAAATAAGGCAGACCGTTCGCTCGTTTTAAAACTCCTCCTGCTGAAAAGATCGATGAGTTAGGAATCTAAACGAACTGCAAGAGCGAACTAGTTCGTTTAGGAGTCGCGAACTAAGTCGTTCGATCTCAGTTGCGAACTATTATGATCAAGACTAATATTTGAAAGGATCTAGCCTTTTACATAGATAAGAGTCGTGTTGATTACTATGCTACTTTACTGACCTGATACTTCAATCTCTTGGCATTACTATAATGATTGGTTTGCTTCTTCTTCTTAGGAGGAGGAGCTGATGCGGCCTCCTCAGCTTCCACTGGCTCATCGTTCCTTAAAGCGGCGGGCAACAAGTACTCCGGGATGTGAGCCAAGTGTGGTTGCAATCTCACCGTGTGCAAAGCCTTATCTCTCTTCAAGGCCGCGTAATCTGTGGGATTCTCTTCAAAGTAACCCTGCAAAGATACACTTGATTCAAGTCCCATTGGTAAAATTCAGTGCAGAAATACTATAGTCGTGTATCATCATCAGAGAGAAGATTAGACATTCATCAATGTGTTATGTTCTTATACTTGTCATCATTTGAACAAAGATAATGAAAAAAAAAGAACAATTGGGTATTCTATTGTTTGAAATAATACTTGTAACTGTTTATTTCAATTTAAAAAATCTATAAAACAAATATTTCGGGAAAATAAACACGTGTTTTTTGGCTTCAAATTAAATCATCTTTTTTTACACCCCCGAAAAAGCTGTCCGTCATATTCATGACATCATTCTACACAGTACACCAAACCAATCAAATACGGTTTTTCTGATTAAGAATTGTCTAGAATAAACATTCAAAAACAAAAATAATGAAAGTCCCTTTTGTTAAAAAATATTTTATTTATGTATCTATATTTTTATTTCACTTTTTATTCAATGTGATTTGACATTTAATTTTTTACTTTAGTTTTGTTTGTGTATTTTTCAAAACGACGAAATAAAAATTCGATAATTTAAAATATTCTGCACCACCTCTAATAAACTTTTCATAAAAAGATAACTTCTTGCTTCTTTTGTAGGTATTAAAATGATATGCTTAATTCTGTTACTCTGAATCATCAGAATAAACGCGACTATAAAATATGACGTCATAAAATTTATCCCATGGAAAAGGATAAATATCCGGAACCGGGTACCTGAAGTTTGGTTTAAAAATAAGGGTATGACAAAAGCGGTCATGCGCTGACCTGTAGCTTCTTGCAGTTGAGTAGCTCCTGCTTGATCTCCTTGAGGCGCGCCTCCCTGACGGCCACGCGGGTGACGGCGCGCCACGCGTCCCGCGACCGGTAGCGGAACCCCTCCACCTCCTCCAGCGCGAACTCGTACTTCCTGCAGCACACACACCGGTACAGAATGTTCGCCCGCGTCAATTGTAGCCTATGTCAGTGTTTCAAATAGCTCCAGTTGTTTCCGATCCTATCCGACGCGCACACATAATCATATCTTTCCTCCTTTTTATTGGTATAGATAAATACAGAGTAGCGGCATAATTTATCCGAGTGTTTTTCTATTGGTATTATCTTTTGATAAATGTGTTTGTGAAGGACAATAAAAATAAATTCTCGATTTCCCTACTATACAAAGTATCAATAAATAAATATTGGACATACAGCCAGTTGCACAAACATCCATTAAAATCTTGATTAGTTTAAAGCGACATTACCCATACAAATATTACATTAAATAGAGCTTAAAGGCGTCATTAAACCTTAATGGATGTTTGTGCAACTGACCGATAGACAACCCAGATAATACACTCGTATTATGGAGTATCTCGTGCAAACCACTCGGCTACAAAGGTCATGTAATTGAAACGTAATAATGTCTGTTATCTCCGAGACACTGAATGTCTCCGTGGACTAACAGAATAGGAATAACGGGTCATAATCAACCACCAGTGCGGATTCGGTAGGTGCACTAACTAGTTTGTTATGGCTACAAATGCAGTCGGGACCAATAGTTCAAAATGCCTTCCGAGCACGAACAAGTCGAGACATTAATATTTGACCACCTTCCAATAATCAATTTCTGGTTTCAAAACTTTTTATTTTACTTTTCAATTTATTGACTTTACTTTCGATAAGTTTAAAAAAAATAATACTTATCTTAAAATACAGTCGAATTGAGAACATTCTCCTTTTTTCAAGTCGAGCCTTTTCTTTTTTATAAATAAAAATAAGGAAGTATTCACTTACTGTAAAACCTTCTGATTGTTGAGTCCTTTCGCGAGATGCTCTTCGACAGCATCCATTAGTGATTTTTCCCGTATTGATACGAAGGATAGCACTGAACCCTGCACAACGAGATAATTTCATTCGCCCCACTATCAAGTAAAGGTTTGTAAAAAAACTAAAACTATGTCATCATCAACAACCGTATGATGCCAACTGCTGAGCATAGGCCGCCCCCATTGATCTCCACGTCGATTGGACCTGCGCTGCCCGCATTCAGCGGCATTTCTTTATAAAATCATCGGTCTACCAGATAGACGATCGACCGACAGACATAATAGCCTCACACAGACGCTTTAAGAAGTAAATTAGAAATGGAAGTTTCAATTTTCTATATTTATACACATTGATTGTATTACTCCACTCAACCAAGCGCAAAAGCTTCCCTTAATATAAATATTGCTACTGACCTGATTCGTCCCCCTAGCGGTGCGTCCAGCTCTGTGCACGTATGAGCTGACGTCAGATGGGAAGTCGAAGTTGATTACATTGGCCACGTATTGGAAGTCTATGCCCCGTGACACACCGGACTCTTTGTCGCGTTTGCGTTTTGACAATTGCTGTTATAAAAAAAGTGATTAGTAAGGGAACTCTTTATGTGCAAAGAAACTAAAGTCTGCTCATTATTTAAATTTATGAGGAAAATCTAACCTTTTTCTTTTTAGCTCTTTCTTCAATAGGCAATATGCCACCATCAGGTTTCTCCAATGCCTTCTCATCTGAAGCAATTATGATTTGATACCGTCCTCTGTTGAACTGGTCCACTGAAAGACACCTGACAGCTGCAGGCAGTTCTGAGTTAAGAACACATGATCCAATTTTGAACTGTTCCAAGTATAGTTTTAACCTGGAATGCAATAGACATTGTGATAATAGTGCTGTTTTTACGATACATCAAAACTAAAACCACAGAATTCAATTTCCCGCTCACTTATGTATTTAAACAAGTACATGAACTGAACAAATACATCTAAGTCTTTTGTGTGTTTGATTAATTTAGGAATATATTCTAGGAGACAGATATCTAGTTCAATATACAACATTTTAGAAACAACCCTGAGACTTAATCTGTTAGTAATGGAGTTCTTAATTGTTACAGGAAGGTATTCTTAACAACTGAATTGCACTTACTTATAGCACCTATCTACTGTTCTGACAAAAATTATGCTTTTCCCACGTATCAGATTCAATTTTAGCAAGGCATATAATATGGCAGCTTTATCATCTTCCTCAGCGAACAGATGGTAATGTTGCAACTGTGATGACGGTGCCAATTCAGGCTCCTCCAGTTTTAAAGTGACAGGATTACGTAGAACTATTTTCTTCAGACTGAGGACATCATCTGAAAGTGTTGCTGATGCTAGTACGGCTTGATAGATTTTTGGTAGGTAACTGTAAATTATATATGTAATCGCATATGTTAAAACCAACTACTGAATAAAATGTATAAAAGCGTAGCAGGAAATAAAGGAACTTACCCTAATAACTCCTTGATTTCAGCCTCATATCCAAATGAAAATATTAAATCAGCTTCATCAACCACCATTATGGATAAATCATCTTTTAATCTCATGTTATTTGCTTTCAAATGTGTCAACGCTCGAGATGGAGTTGCTACTACAATGTCAGGTTTGTCCAACAACTGTGATTTCTGTGCCTGTGTGTCTATACTAGCAGAAATATCTACGCAGCGCACTTCTCTTGCACACTTTATAGTCAAATCACTTATTACAGAGGTTATCTACAAAAATAGGGTAATCAATTCAATACAGGTGTAGACAATAAATTAAAATAAATATTTTTTTTTTCTAGAAGTGTTTTATATACTGTTAGAGGCCATCCATAAATTACGTCAGACAAAATTCAGGATTTTTAACCAAGAACCAAGAGAATTCAATGTTATGAAGACATAGAACAATATTAGTTTCATGGGGCTGTGACACCATGACAGAAGTGGTGTTTTCATAGGAAATTTTGAAAAATAGATTAATTTTTAGATTTAGTTTTTATATTAATGATACTTTTTATTTATTTTTTTTTTAAGTTGTCACTACCCCTATTTAGTAGAGCAATTGGTAGCCTTATCGCTAAAAAGCAATTCCTTTCAGAATTCGGAGATGGGGAGGGCACAAGAGTCATTGTTTGTGGTACAGGTTCTGATGCAAAAATGTATAGACATGTAGCAGGGCACCTTTTGATTACCCTTCTCAACAATATAGGATTGGATGAGAGAGAACTTTGTATAATAGAGAACCTGTATTGGAACCAGCGAGCAACTGTCCAGGTTAGAAGGAGAGAGAGATAGAAATTGGGAGTGGGTACGACAGGGTAGCGTTTTGTCACGAACTCTATTTAATATCTCAGAGTCAACCATGTCAGAAACTCTGGAGGGACTAGAATGCAGTGTTAAATGATATATAAGATTCCTTTAACATATTTTTAAACCAGTTAGGTGATGGAATATGTCCATTCTGCTTATCCTGCAAGGGAAAGGGTATGAAGAAGTAGAAAGAGAAAATGTATATAATATAATAATAATATTACCTGTCCACAAAGCTCCTTACTTGGTGATAATATGAGAGCTTTTATACTCTGATATCTGCTTGTATTCTTTAGGTTCAATATTTTTTGAATAACTGGTATGGCAAAGGCTGCTGTCTTTCCCGAACCAGTTCGGGCTCTGATAAGAACGTCTTTACCTTCTAACAAGAGAGGGATAGCTGTTTCTTGAATCATCGTTGGTTCACGCCAAGCTAACTGCGACACAGCCTGCAAAATGCGTTTATCTCAAAAAATTTTGAAACCACATCACATCATAAACTTGGACCAGCGATTCAATAGTAACTAGGTGTTCTTTGTATTCAAATTAACTTACCTTTAGTATACGATCATCCAACTCCATTTCGTGGAACATAACCTTTTTATCGTCCTCCATGTCGTTTCTTTCATAAAAAATCACAAGGCGTAAATCTTAGGTTACTGCTTTACCCTATGTTTTAGATCATAGGGAAACTGCTTTACGCACCTATGAATTTACAACTCAATGTAATACGGATGAGTAAACTTTCATAATTAAATTTAATAAAATTTAAACATACAATGAAATCCCACATGTAAATTTCAAACGCACCTGTCAATGTCATGTATGTAGGTAGGTCCGATATGTCAGACATGTCAGTCAATAATGGTTGTTATTAAGAGATGCGAAAAACTATCCATAACTATCATTAAAAAAATTAATTGCGATATTGTCCTAATGAACCATTCTTTATTTAAATATTTTGCCTACATATAACATTTCATCAATAATTTTGACATAATTGGAAATTATTAAAGATACTAATCAAAGTACTATCTCTTAAATCTATTCAATTATTTTTCACTCTCCCGCCAGTCTCATCTATTAGGCCTATTCGCTAACTCAATTGACAACCTAAGGTCGTCATCACCATGACACCCGAGCCACTCAAAAGTGGCACAATCACTTTTTCGTATTTTCTATCAATGGTTCCCAATTTGAAATGTTAATGTTGACGATTTCCACTGTACTTTATTTTCACACTTGATCTTATATCGATAAACTACTATTTCGTATTCCGTAATCAATGGTAACCATTAGAGTAAATTTATATTTCATCTTAATTAAATACATATCGTACCGTCTTTTCTGATCGTAACCATCTTCTTCTTCTTCTTCTTCTTACAACGGGCGTCTCCGCAACTCGACGACCAAATTGCGCCTATTTTGCGTGTGGAGGGTGTGTGGCTGGATACTACTCCAGCCAGCCCAGCTCTGCCAGGAACGCCCCGAGCGCCTTCACATCTGCGATGGCCTCTTGGAGGTTGCCCGGCGAGCCGAGGTACTTTGCCCGGTAGTTGGCCACTCCGTTGCATTCCAGCAAGACGTGAGTGGCTGTTTCTTCCAATCGTATCGTATCGATTGATCGATCGTAAATCGATCGTAACCATATTAGCACATTGTTGACAAGAACGGAAAACTTATGGACAATAAGCCCGCCAATGTGATCTGTTCGTTACAATATTTGTATAAGGGAAAGAAAATTTCACTCTATTGTACCTTTATAATGTTATCATTCAAAACCGGGCAAAATTGTCTAGGAATATCCCATTGCCATTAAAGCATCTAAATAGTTACTTTTGAGGATTCCGTACCTAAAAAATAAAAAACGGGTCCCTATTATTAAGTTTACTGTCCGCCCGTCTATATCATGACCAGTGATAGTCAGATAGTTGATTTTTTTACAGATGATGTAATTGAGTGATAACAAGTAATACTAAAAACAAAATAAATATTTAAATAGAGCTTAATTTGGAACCCTTTGGTCAATAATCCTACTCGCAATTGGCTAATGTTTTAAATATTTTAAATTTAATACAAATAATCGATTGTGTTTGATACGATTTATTATAACGATAACGTTATTTGTACATCACTTCCCTATTGTTATTGTTTGAGTTATTTTATTAAAAGCAACGGAATCTAAACTATACACATACAGTGTAAGAGTAAATATTTTTTTCTGAAGCCAGTCTTATTTTTAGAAGTTCATATTATAAATACATACTTTACTCTTTGGATGCAAATGTAATTCATCTTTAGAATTTTTGAAGCCCGTTTCGTGTTTATAAACCATGCTTAAAATTGTCGCAGAGTTATAATGAGGATGTATTTTAAGAAAAACAAAGAAAGCGCTAAAAAAGCACCTCACTAGATGGCAAAAGTCAATTTTTGCAGGAAACCAATGGACCAAAGATAGTCATTTCCGTTCCTTTTAACTAACATATTAAAAACTGAAATTTGCAAAGTTCAAAACAAACTAAGATATTAAAGCAAATATGAAAATTCACAAATGGAATATGAGATTTTTATTGACTTTTGAAAATTAATTTACTTTTATACATAAAAGAATACCGGAAGAGTTGTCATGGAGAAACCAACGAAGTAACGTAGTGACATCTAGTTTGATTTCGGGAACTAATGTTTTTTTAAATACTTCCTCATATTCACTGCTTCGATATCACTCCAATATCACTTTAAAAAAGCTTTTTGATAAACATAAAGGAATGAGAAAGTATTTAAAATAAAAACATTAGTTCTCGAAATGAAACTACATGTCGCTACGGTACTTTCTTGATTTCTCCATGATAAAATTAATTTAAAAAAGTAAATTAATTTTCAAAAGTCAATAGACAACTCATATTTCAATTGTGAATTTTCGTATTCGTTTTGATAGCTAAGTTTCGAACTTTGCAAACATCAGTTTTTTAATATATTAGTTAAAAGGAACGGAACAGACTATCTTTGGTTCATCCGTTTCCCGCAAAAATCAACTTTTGCCAAAACGCCATCTAGTGAGGTGCTTGTTAGTGCTTTTTTTTTAAAGGCTTCCTCATTCAATCATTCATCCTAATTTCAGGTAATATTCATTTTTCATTTGGATTAAATTTGCAAATGCTTCTTTATATGTAAGTGTCGAAACAGACAAATCTACCTCACAGAAATACATACTACGTACTACAAATAACTCAAGTCTCAGAATAATAACAAAAGTAAGCTAGTTTAGTTATTATTCTGAGACGCAAATAACGTCTTTGATGTCTCCATCTATGACGTTTGCCCACTATCCAGCAGTAATTTTACGAAGCACTTTTCCTATATACACCTGATTATAATGAAATTTTTCAACAGCAATTTTATTAAATTACACTCTACTGCTCAAAATTTATCATGGGTTTTCAAGGACTTGACTATAATAGATGCCACATTTGTCTAAACTAGAATCTACTATTCTACCAAGATAACAAATTTGGTAGAATTTTGTTTTTCTGATGTAAACATCGAATGAATGGCCGAGTTGTTTCTGCGTTGTGTTATTTTCTGCTTTTGGAAATTTACAGAGCATTTTTACCCATTTCCAGTTCAGTTTTTCATTAGAATAAATTCAGTGATGACAATATTTGTATCGGTGCTGGTTTCGTAACAATCCAATGATGTCTCCATGTGAAGGCGTTACGGACTACAGTTCATTGCCTTATGTAAAACTCGAAATGGTGTTTCTTCCGTGAACAACTAAAATATACAGTGACATATGTGTAGTGTGAATATTGAAGACGAGCGCTAGTTAGAAAAGTATAAAATGTCTAACTCGACAGCGCAAGTGTTGATGAAGAAAGGTAAACGTGGGGCAGCTGCCTACATACACGCGGACTGCGCCAGCGGTTCTCCGCAGCATTTGGGTCCTTTACTTGACGTGCTGCTGAATCCCAGCAAGGCTATAGATGAGTGGGAGACTATGGATTGGTGCCGATGGCTCATTGCCGGAGGTAGAACACCCGACGAGTTTGCAACCATAGGTGAGTATTTATTGTGTAACTGTACTTCCACATTTTTATTTTAAGAGTTTTCTAGGTTATAGTAGAATTATAGCGCAATCTGATGAATTATATGTGATTTAATGAAAATGAGCTCATGAATTTTAGATGATTAGTTATTCAACTATGACCTTTATGTCAGTGACATTTGCACTGTTTATTTTTTGTTTACTCTGAACATTACACATTCTTGTAAGAACCAGCTACAATTGTATTTGGTTTCACTGTATTATGACTATATGCTACAACAAATTTGTTTTAAAAATTAAAGAAATTTGCTGAACCCATTAGATGTTCGGTTCACAATGACATAGGTCATATTAATTAGTGCACAGTGTATCACTAATAAAATATTATATTATCATTCAGCATGTTATAAAATCAAGCATAAATCTTTCAATGTGATGTGCTGGATCAGGGGCATTTGTCAATTTCAATCAGTAATAATTAAATTACAAGAAAAACAAAGTACAAATTCTTTATTAGGTCAATCCTAAAAGTATCTAAGCATCATACTCTTACTTTAAACAGAGTTCAATAGTATAAATCCTAAATAAAACAAAGAAGTATTGATGTGAACATAAATAAGGCATGCATATATAACACCAGATTGTGTACTATAAAATTAATAAAAAGTATTAACTGCATAGCTGTTTTATGATTTTATAGGATCATAAAATTATCCAATAATGTTTTTAGGAATAGAAAGAGCTTTGAAAAGTATTGGTATAATAAACAATGTTATTTTCACAGATAAGATATTTGTAGGTAACTTGGTAATGAGATAAGCTTCATTTTGTTTATATAATTGAAAACGGATAAACAATATGCAACATGACTTATGTATGAAACTTGTTTCATAAAATGTGCAATATGCACAGAATATGATATCCAATTTATGATAAAAATTAATTTGGTGCATGGTCCACCTGTCTTTTAGTGTATAAAAACTGGTGATAATAATTTTACTCAATCAATTTTAAACCACATCATACCAATTCTATTATACCTCTTTCTAAATAAAAAAAAAAAAATTATGTGTTGGTTTGTTTTATTTATTCCATAGTTTGGGAGTGGAATGGAAGAGTGGGAGTTCCATAGTTGAGACTAACTAATTTAAGCAAATAATGATAAAATGCATGTATGTGCGTGCGAGTGTGCGTGTACGTGCGTGCGAGTGCGCGTGTACGGCATGCATACGTACGCGTGTACGGCATGCATACGTACGCGTGCGTGCGTGCGTGCGTGCGTGCGTGCGTGCGTGCGTGCGTGCGTGCGTGCATGCGTGCGTGCGTGCGTGCTTGTGCGTGTGCGTGTGTGTGTGTGTCTGTCTGTGACTGCGCGTGCGTGCGCTTGTGCGTGTGTATGTATTTAACTGTCTAATTGGTTTGAGTTTGCCTTAGTTATTCCTTTTGACATCATAAGGATTTTTTAAATGCCAACTGGTATGTTTCATCTGCCCCAAATGTACATTGTGCAGCCAGATTTTATATACCATACTTTTGCAAGTGTTAGATATTTTTCATTATAGGGTGTAGAAAACATTTTTTTGAAGCTTGTTCTTTTGTAAACCATATCTATACTGTGCATATTATGCTGAAATCTTAAACACAACAGATCACAAAACAGACACTCGCAACAATGTGTTTACATCAATAACATAGTGAGATCAAGAAGAATGTATATATGTATAATACAGGACCATGCAGTTTAAACCACTCGAGGAGATCTAGTAGGGCACATTGTGATGATTTTGGCAATGACAGTGGAACATGTTCCTAACTTGTGGTATATGATCCCCGTGTATGGTGACCTGTAGATTCCTTATCATAATAAATGTGCCCGCCATAGTCCTTAGCATAAAAAATAGAAGGCGAAAACACATGTTTATGTCATGTTATATCTATTTATTTATATATAAAAACAGCATTATTATTTTCCTATACACAAGTTGTTTTTAAACAAGTACCAACCAATTGTCCATTTTTGTGGTGACAATGTCATGCAGATGTTATGCAGCCTTGCAACTTGTATGATTCATTTATTTATTAAAACTTGAGTGTTGCTTCAATGTTATGGTAATAATTACAAAAATTTATTGATATGTTTATGAAATGTTTCATGGCAGGTTTTATTACATTAGAAGGAACATTTGAATCCTATTATTATTTAGTAGTAGTTTGCCAGTTCAAAGGTCTACTTTGAATGAAAATAATATAATTTCATTACATCACTGCATTAGGAGTCGCTTATAAATTACAAATATAATTATTTGTAGTTCATACCTTGATAATAATCTTTATTAAAAAAAAAAAATTTGTTGCTATGATAAGAAATACTTTGAAATGCTAGACACTATTTTTGTAAAATGAGGATAGTCGCAACAATGGCAATCCAATTTAACCATCTCCTAAGAACACATATTTGAATAACATCTCAATACTTTACACCATAATCTGTACTATAAAAATATTTTTTTACAAACCTTTCTTATTAATTCTTTGCTGCTATTTCAATTAAGCTCAAATTCCGATAAAATTTTATTGAGTGTGTTATTAGCTTATTCAACTTGTTAAAAGGCTGAGTCATCATTCTAATACACCGGTGACAGGTCATTGTAACTACAAACCACAGCGACTGGTCATGAAGGCATCGTTAACATTTTGAGGTGGTCCACGGGTATCGTGCGCCTTGACCCCGATGTGAGCGCACGCGGCCTGCGCGAGCGCATACTCATTGTATACGTCACGTGCACCATTATATGCACAAGTATATTGGATAACACCGTGTTATTGTTCCTGAAATTAAAACAAGCTTTAATACAATTAGTTACGTTAATCAGTCGTATAATAAACGATTATTGACATACTCTCGCATATGGTACAAAAGTTTTAATGTTTCTCTACTTAAAGGAAGCTATTGAGAACCTTTTAATCTTCCAGTATCTGTTTGTAACAGAGATTTAACTTTTAAACTAAAGTAGGTAAACAGTTTATTGTTTTAAAGGTTAAGTGTTACATAACACTACAGTCCCGCTATCACTACAAATAATAAAAATGTAACCACAGGAGATAGCAAATGAAATGGTAGGTATGACGTGTCATCAAAAATACAAAAATCCTTCAACGCTAATAGAAAAAGCCAAAAATAATAACTATGGTTGTCGAGCCATAGAGGATGACATTACGCCTATTTTTTAAATTATAGACATATTAGTTTTTTCTAGCGGCTTCGCCCGCGTGCTCCTCTATTATACATATAAATCTTCTTCTTGATTCACTCTGTATATTGATGAAAATCGTATCAAAATCGGTTGTGTAGTTTAAGAGATCTCGCGCGTGCATACAGACAGCAGAAACGTTGTAAATAATCGGTTGATATTTTGTTCTTTTCTCAGAAACCGGCCTTTAAAAAATTTTTTGATACTAGTCTTTAGTATCAAAAAAAATTTTTTTTCAAACTCACGTAAATATATCATAGTAAAATCAGCGAATACCTACCTATGTAGCATACTTTTAAAACTATCATAATAGTTTTTAGAATATCCGATAAAATCTGGATGGGCGGTTAATTGATTCTTTAATTGTATATCTTTATGGTTTCATTATATTTTCCATGGCTCGATGACACAGTGGTTAGCGCGCTCGATCTGCGTTGCAGTTGCAGTGGTGCTTAACTTTCAAAAGGCCTATCATAAGATGGGCGACCAAAAATTTATTATCTCGAGCTCCTTTGTGCTTCAGAATCCGCGCTAAGTAGTTGGTGAGCAGAAAACTGAGCGCCTGTGAGATTCTTATACATCTTCTGCTTCTTAATTATGACATTTTTTCATACGGGCTCACCCTTTTTTTATCTTTACTTCCATACTTAATTTTCTTCTAATAATACGCCTGACATACAGGTGTTCCTAATTCAGGCACTTGTGTTATTTTGCTTAGTTTATAATACGTGTTTAATAATATATTCAATTTGTTTGGCCATCTTGTACGACGCAACATTGCGTCATTATAGTATGCTTTAGTTATGTAGAAGACTGGAAAGTAACATAGGCTACTTTCCAATCACTTTTTGTACACACGGTAACTTTTTACCGCGATAAAATAAATACTCGTAATTGTTATCCCAAAGGGTAACAGCAAGTATTGTTTATAACATTTTAGGGAAAAACCGAATATTTCTTTATTTGTAGTGCAATCATTTTTGTAAAATCTGTGTCTTGGTAATATGCTCTAGGCCTGTTAACGGTCAACAATGTAGTTTGCGCGAGAGGCCCGTCAATAAGGTCACTGACACGCTTTTCGGCATTCGGTGACTGCCTGTCATCTTATGATGTTTCATCTCTTATCACAGAAACAGGATTCAATATTTTTTCACTATATTTGTGACTTCATCTCTGTATTCATCATCATTCATAGTTTTTAACTGCTTATTCCTGATGAATATGCAGTTAAAAACTGTTAAATTATATACAAAATAGCAACCTTAGTGCATATTGCAATTTATAACTCAGGGCCAATGTTCCAATGTTGCTGTCTGAATTCCTAACCTATGACATTTTACACAAAAATACCCTCTAGTGAAATTTATACATATGTTGTTTCTGAACATATCGTATCATTTATAAAAAAATTGCATCGGTTGTTTTTACTTAGCCATTCCATTTAAATGATAAAAATCCATTTAGAATTGCATTACATTTTAAGCAGACTTCAAAATCGAAAAAGAGGTTTAATTTTCGACGTATAAGTATTTTTTTATTTATGCGTGTTCACAACTTCGCAACGAAGTGACCGTCTATCAAATTTTTCATTTAAAATCCTATGAACTAGGGATTACAAACCCGGTTTTTTTTTTGCAAACGGTTTTCGAATTTCTCTTACGATTAAAATCCGGATAATTCGTGTTATCTGATTTTTTTTGTGATTTAACGTGTTTTGATGAAATCTGCATTTATTAGTAATCCACGACAGAAAATAATAAAA